CAGAACTGGGTCTCACTGCGCTTTCCTCCCTCCCACTCCCTGAGACATCAGCGTGTGAAAGCCTGGGGCAAGGTGAGTTCATGTGACAGGGAGGAGGAGGTGGGCGTCAGCACGAGCACTGCTCACGAGTGCTGGGCCCATCCATCAGCCAGGTCTCTGGAAGGCACACGGGAGGGCTGGCCCAGGGAGGGCTGGTCAGGGGAACAAGCGTGGTCCAGCCAAGTCCACATGTCCAATGGTTTTTCTTTTTGGTGCCTTCTAGAAATGAGCTGTCTCATAACCCACCATCTGGTTCAGTGCTGTTCACAATGGAGCTCCATAGAATCACAGAATGGTTTGGGTTGGAAGGGACCTTCAAGTTCATCCAGTTCCAACCCCCCCTGCCATCAGCAGAGACACCTTCCACTAGACCAGGTTGCTCAAAGCCTCATCCAGCCTGGCATAATTCCATGTGCTATGGAAGTATCTCAAGCTCCTGAGGGAGGCTATGGGCCACTATAGACACCATACATCCAGTGCATGTTGTGAAGAGCTCTTGCACCAACAGCTTCTTACCAGTAAATATAAAAAAGGAGGAAAAAGTGGATGTACTAAAGAGAAAGGGGAAGAACACACTGAGCAGCGGCAGCAGGAGTGGAGGCTGTGCCATTTGGGTCAGTTGGTGCCCTTCAGGAGCTCCTGTTTCAGCAGTTGCTGCAGCACCTTGTAAACCCCGACCCGACCTTACTGGAGCTCTGACCCCCCAGCTAGGACAGCCTCTGGCAGGGAAGGCTTCAGTGAGGGTGCTGGGCTGCGCTTTGCCCTTAGGGACTGATTTGAGGCATGGGGTGAGAAGGCAGAAGTGCTTAATCTGATACCCAACCCCTCTGCTGAGGTTCTGCTGGGTTGAGCTGGTGCTTTGCAAGTATTTCTTATGCTTTAGGTTTTTAGCTGATAGCTACTGGAGCATGGTACTAGGAAATATTACTACAGCATACTCTGAATTCACATCAATTTTGTAGAAAAAGAGTTTGAGACTTCCCTTTTTTAGAATGAGAAGCTCTGCTGTTCTGAGTACAACGGTGTGGCATCTTGTTTGGAATTTCCCTTGCTTTCTATATATACACATGCAGCGAAGCCACAGGAAATGGAAGTTTTAAAAAAATACCATAGAACATAGGTATTTGCTTCTTGAACAAATTTTATTCTTGTACTCAGTTTTATTATTAGTGAGCACTTAATCTTGAGGCATCATTTCAGGCTTGTTTTAGAAGCTGTAATGTCCTAAATCATTGAAGGGGGAAGCAGGCAGCGTCTTAGAAGTTGCAGAAAATTTGAGAAGCTTTTTAGGCTCTATAGTGCCCATGCTCCAGACGACAGCATTACTGCTGAGCTTCTCTCCCTTGGGGTTTTTCAGGTAGGGACCAACTTCGGAGGCTTCTCCCAGCTGTATTTTCTCAGATTCAGTGAGTCAGTCTTGCCTACAGCTGCTGTGATTGTGAGCTGAGGACCTACTTCTGCATGGCAACCAGCACAGTTATTAGTAAACAGCATTTACTTCAAATCCCAAGCAAAATACATTATAAGTATGTTCAAGAGTAATGAGAACCAGCCTGGCAGCACTTGAAGGATATTTGGTCCAAAAACCTCATTGTTGGTGAGATGGCTGCTCAGGAGCTCAGAGATTGTCTTGAGTCTGAGCTCAGGCTGGTTGGGAGAGCAAAACTGAGGGAAGGTAACTCAATGAGGGAGAAATGTTAGGAGAAGGGATGGACTAATCATGAAGGTAATCGGACAAATACATCTTGGCAGCTCATAATATGCTAAGATACATTCCTACAAGTCCCAGAAGAGACAGTTATCCTGCCTCCTCCCAGCCTCCCTGGACCTACAGAGGTACCTCTGTCTGTCTTCTAGTGTTGGCGTGCCTCTCCAGTACAGGCACGGCTCACCAGTGAGAGCTTTACAGAAGCCCAAACAGGCGTTAACCTTGCCTGATAACAGGGTCCAGTTATCTCAGATGCCTCTTGTTACCAACACAGCAAATAAGGAACCAAGTCACATAATTTTTCTGTACAGTTTCAAGAGTCTTGTGTGAGGACTTGTTTCTGCAGTGTTCCAGATGATGTGTGTTTCAGAGAAGAAGTGTTGTACAAATGGATAATGAAAGTTCATAAAGTTTATGCTATTGAAAATCCCTTCATTTTATGCACTGACTTTCTTACTCATATGCCTGTTTTGCTTTCTTTTGGGAAAGGAGCTGGCTTGCTTTTACCCTTTAACCAAGTAAGACATGTGCTACTTGGACACCCATCCAAGTGGCAGAGAAAAGCAGTGTGAGGCCAGAAGGAGCTTTCCTTGATTTAAAGGGTTCAAAAAATGCTAAGAACTCACGGCTGCTTTCACTTCAGTGTTGGGACAGTGGAGCTGACAGTTTTAGTGCATTCTGGTCTACAGGTTGAGGAACCTGAATTGTGGATGTAGTAATTGTGGTAATTGCTTGGGCTGCCTTGATGTGTGAGCTTTGCCTGGTAAGGAGAGGGCGAGTAAAGATTTTATACTGTTTCTTCAAGAGATCTGCCAGTGGCTTTGGTGTAGAAGTCAAAGCACTGGGTAACAGACAAGTTTTCTTAGGAGGAATAGTTTAAGCCCTATAATCTGAAACAAACATTTGCATGTAAGATACTGTTAGTTCTTCATAGTTTGTGTAACTGGTTTCTTGGTTAAGACAAAACCAGAAAGAAATAGGTAAGGCTTTTCACCAACTGGGGAAAAAAAAAAAAAAATCAGTAGGAAATGGTAAAATAAAATAGCTCTGAAGTGAGGTATTTTTATACTGAAAAACAGCAGATCTGTCCTAGATTTTTGCCACAGATTCAAACTCCAGTCATTTATTGCATAGCTCGAGGTGGTAGCTGTCATCTGTACCTGACCTGGAACTTCACTTGTTTGTGTCTGTTGGTCCAGTGTGGTCCTCTATGGACCAACAGACACAAACCTTAAAACCCCAAGAGTATGTACTATTAATTTCTGCATACTGCAGATTCTCATATCTAATTCTTGCATCTGTTTCTAATGGTTGTAGGTCAGTCTGTCCAACGGTACCCACAGGGATAATTAACATGAGTGGAACCCTACAGCAGACTTGAGCTCCTGACTGATACATATTAAAGCAGTGATCATCTCAAATGCAGAAAAAAAACAATGCGCTGCCAAGATCTAATTTACTTTATTGTTGGGTTTGTCTTTGTAACTATCTGGTAATGTGAATCACTGAAAAAAGAGGTCCATGTTCTGCTCTGTCAGTTACTGGCACTACAGTTCTGGTGTACACTGAAGCTGTAAACAAGGCTTGTCTAATGAGAACAGTCAGAAAAAGTAAGATTAGCTTATGCCACAGGAAGCTTAATCATATGTTTCTCAGCCTATATTCTGTGGGCTGCATCTGATCTCGAAGACCTTAAAAGGCAATGTATAAAGTGGTCTCTAAAAAAATTATAAATCTCTGCATGTTCGTGCGTGTTGTGTTAGGAAAAACAAGCTAATAATCAATCACAGGTTTGCAATCACACTGCATGCAGTGGCCCATGCATTTTTTTTTTTTTTTTTGTAATATCCCAGCTATTCCAACATTGGCATAAACCCTCATCATCCCTTGGGGCTGTAACAAGATCATGAAAAGGAAATATCAAGGTAAATAGTCAATCCTCCTAAAGTGTAGTACTGGGAAGGAAGCAAAGCAGATGACAGGAGCACTGTTATACAAAGTAAGTTTTCTTTAATTATGACAGGGCAGGGTTGTACTAGGCCTTGACTTTGTATCCCATCCAGAACTCCAGCTCTGACATAGAGGCAACACTGAAAAAAACACCCTGTACCATTGTTATATTTGTAGACTTTAACTTCTGGTACTTCTCAAAACAGTCCCTTGCTCGTTGTTGAAGTTATCACCAGTGTAGACAGGATAAGAAGAAATTTAAGTTAGTACTGGCCTTGTCACAGATGCGTGGCAGAGTAGGGCGTTAAATTGGCAGAGTAGAGTGTTAATTCTCATGCATCTGAAAGGTCATTCTTCCTCTCATAAACAAGGAGTGATTTTTCAACATATCTGAAAATAGTCTGAGGCCCTGGTTATCACTGAAGTATGAAATAACCCACATCTGAAACCATGACATTTAGTGAGCTCTTACTATAGTTACTGGGACTATTTTCCCTTTAAATACCTACATTGAAAGATATTTTTGACCACTTTGCTAATGTAGTAAAGCAACTGCATAATCATTTTTATTATAAAAATAATCCTTAGGTAAAATAGGAAAACAGTTAATAATTACACAAATACACATTTACAAGTGTGTAAAATAGTTACTTATGGCACAGAAAAAAATAAATATCCCTGTACATTGTTTCTGTGCAAAGAGACAGGCCAGTTTTAGTCAATAACCAGCCCTTTTATGTTTTCTTCACTTCTCCTGATTTCAGTTGAACACAAGGATTTTCAGATGCCATGTCTGAAAGATCAGCCTCAATAGACAAGAAAATACTTTCGCTTTTAATCCAGATAAAGCACAGTAAGATTTTTCCTATCTTCTGCCAAAATGCTCCTCCCCCGTTCTTCAGCTTACATTTTTGGAAGAGGAGGAAATTTTCAAGTTCAGTAATTTTTTTCACAAGCCTTCAGACTGCTGTAAAGAATTAGACTCAAATACGAGTCAAGCTGCACTCTGAAGCTACCTACCACTGTAAGTTTCAGGTTAGTTTGTAGTAAAATTTGCATTACACTTGCCTTCCTCGTAGTTGTCAAAAATAATTCTTCATAAAAACACTTTGCTTTATCTTGAAGTCTTTCATACAGTCCAAGAGAAGGTGAAATCAAATAAGAGGTAGATATTGTTCATCCTCCTAATTCCTAAGAGCTGTCCATTTGAATTACTCTGGTTTAGGACTGTAGGAGATATGCATAGAGCAAAGTTTCACTGTCTATAAAGTAGTGATCGATGTGCACGCCTCACATCATGTGGTCACTGACAACATTCAGCAACATGCTTCAGGAATTCGTCACTGAGTTCATCACTGAAAAACCTCATACAATGAGGACATCTGAGTTCACCCTGTGCCCTGCCCTCAGGTCCTGAGTTTCCATAGTCCGCAGGAGGAGAAGCTTGTTCGGACTGTGAAGATGTTCTTCTCACACCTGTTTGGCCTGGGCTGTTGCCTCGTAGATGTTCAACGTTCGTCTGTACACACATATGATTTTGGTTACCAAGGTGAACTCTGAAGTGACTACTTGTGTCTCTTGAGTCCTAGGAAGAGAAAGAGGAGCTCTTGAAAAAGATGCAGTAAGAAGACATTATTTAACAGAATATTTTATCACCTTTTCCTGAAACACTCCTTGTGTTTTTATCAGAAGATTTGTAACTAAAATATGCATCTTTTTTGCAGTTTTGTTAATATAGTTGTACAGAAGGCTTCTAGAAAACACATAATATAGTCAGTATGCTACTTTAGAGATGATGCCACTGTTACAAGAGTCATGGCCGTCCTTACCTTCCTTCTAAGAATTCACCCTTGCTATGCTGATGCAAAATAGAAGGAAACTGGACTGGAAAGGGGCATTACATGTGTATTGGGAAACCTCTCCACTAGAACTGACTATGAAATAATGTAAGTTTTTGATAGCTGCACTGAGCTGAAATGGTTTCAGAAGTACTAAGATTTTTTAAAAATATATATAAAAGTATATTTTAGTCCTGAATCCTGTTGACATGCTTTAATTGAAAAAGTAGCTTGTTGCTTTCTTACCTGTCTTCTTGCTAGCTGGTGTTGCAGACATGCAATTTCTGCCTGAAGCTCTTGTATTTTACTCTGTGCTCGTTCTCTGTCTGATCTCTCAGATGTGAAGTCATCTTTATAAACTAGGACCTGAACAAGAATTATTATGTTAATATTTTATAAATTAGAGCATTGGCAGGTTAGATTAAAAAGCTGAGGCTGTGATTCCTTTGTTTGTAAATACTTATTCCCAGAATCTCAATATTATCTTCCTATCATATCTGTACTTTAAAGGCATTTGCATTTCTTTTTCAGATCTTTCATACTTTGTATTAAATCCAGCAGAATTACATGCAGTTCTTTAAGTAGTGAGTTCCCTTTCAGTCTGTGTTGTTAAGTATCAGTATAGCCAAACATGGCAAGATAAGTGGCAAATGTCAAAAGAAACAATTGCATTTTTTTCCCCCTTCAACTTCAGAGGTCTGGGGAGAAACTCGGAATTCCCACCTCTAGGAAAAAGAAACTTAATGACCTGTTGCTCCAGCATTTGTATGCGCTCGTTATCTCCTTCGCTAGCCTTCTTCACATCTTCTAATTCTCTCTTTGTTTTTATGCATTCATTCATTTTTTCTTCCAGTAGCTTGTTTAACCGGAATATCTCTTTGTGCATCAGGTCAGAATTAGTTTGTGCTGAAGTTCCACCGTGCTGCTGCTCCAGCTGTGACTTCATCTCTTTTAGCTGCAAGTGGAGTCGCTTCACATACTCATCCCTACTCGCATCGTATTTCTGCCATTTTGCATTTAAATCTTCCACCTGAAAGATTACCCAGGAGAGTCATGAAGAACATGAAGACACAAACTTCCAAGCTTTTATGGACTGTCTGTATGTGCAGGACCAAAATTCACAGAATCCCAGAATGGTAGGGGCTGGAAGGGACCTCAGGAGATCACCTCATCCAACCCCCCTGCCAGTGCAGGTTCCCTACAGCAGGTTGCACAGGAAGGCGTCCAGGTGGGTTTTGAACACCTCCAGAGATGGAGACTCCACAACCCCCTTGGGCAGCTTATTCCAGTGCTATGACACCCTGACAGTAAATAAATTCTCTAAAAGGCAATATATTACTCTGACTCAACCACTGAGGGTGGATAAGCCACTTTGCAGGAGAGAAGATTAACGTGCTGTAAGCCAGGCTCCTCACAGGCAGCCTTCCCCATCTGCCAGTCCATAGGACAGTATTAAATAATATGGAGTAGGAGGCGGTGCTGGTCACCCTGGGCCTAGTGCTGTTCTCCTGAGGTGGAACACTGATGCATGGATGGAACGTGAAAATTTTCTTCTGACGTGTATTTTTAACAACAAAAACCCAATTCATTAAAAATAATGCAATAGCTTGTTCTTAACTAAGGGGACAAAGACTATGTGCCATGTTGAAAGGATGAAGAAAAATTCTGGACTCGCATTAAACTGCCATTTAATTAGATTAGCCAGGCCTTACCTACTCCAAATTTACTGTAATTCAAAATACTCAATCAAATCTTAACCTTGTACAGAATGAAAGTACTCACGTGAGCTACTTTTTCTTTTAACATCCTGTTTTCATCTTGTAGGTTGCAGATAAGAGCTTGAAGTGAAGTTCCATTGTCTAAAAGCTATAATTTTCAGATAAAGGGAGTGTTACTTGAACATAAAAATCCCAAATACTACTTAGCTATGCTGTTAAACTGGAAGTAATCTTTATTTTTATTCCTCTAAAACTATTTGCTATCAGTGAAACAAGTACATAAATGTAGGTCTACTTATTTCTATATAGTGTATTTCTAAATACTAATAGTATAGCCTACAGCTTTTATTATTAATAAGCAGAGCAAAAATAGAATAGAATCACAGAATCAAAATGTACTCAGGTTTTTACCACCTTGATACTGCTTTTTAATGGATCTGTGTGGTGTCATAAAAATATATCTGTCTTGCCAAATTCTGAGCCTACTAAAGGTAACAAGAAAAATACCACATATTTTACATGCATGAGGGTCTACACTGATGACAACAGAGCTTAGGAGTTTACACAGACTCCTTGGAAATGGCTTGTTTGGAGTGGGGGAATGGATGACAGTGACATAGATATGCCTTCATCTTGCTTTGTTATTACTGTCAATTTTGGCCAGTACTAGGAAGAAATTACTGAGGAAAAAAAACCCTGCTTGCTAAATAATTGACTAAAATGATACCTCTTTTTTTACAGTTGTGACATCTGCTTAAAAAAACCCCGTTGTACGTGAGTAATATAGAACACTTTGGTGCAAAATTCCCTAGAATCAGCTAGTAATTGCATCTGAAATTTCTCTTCTTCAACAGGGAAGTCCCCACTGTACAAGGTTAGCTACTTATTACATATATCAAAGTCAATCAAGCTTCCTGTCTATCAATTACACGTAAAATATGATAATACTAAAAGCTTCAAGTCCCTTAAAAAGTCCTTTTTTCTTACATGCAGTCAGCCTCTATTTCTTATAGGTAACTTCAATGTGAATAAGTGTTCCCTGGAAATGCTCTGCGGATATTTTACACAGTAGAAGTGAGCATGTGTTGAGTTTATCATAAAAGCACCGATGAGTGGTTGTGTGAAACACGACATTGCCACTACAGAGCAGTAAGAACATGAGACACAATTACTCTCTTCTGTGAGAACTGGCTGTAGCATCTTAATACTCTGGAGGCAGTACCTCTAATGTTATTTCTTTATGGTGTTATCATGAATTACCTAACGTCTCTGAGCCATCATGACTTCTGGAACATCAGAACAACACAATCTACCACTACCCTATGGGGGTAGCTCCAGCTATGCTGATGATGCAGCAAAACCACACAGCCATTAGCAAATTATGCCAAAATCCTGGTGTTTCTCTGTGCCCCTCGGTAGCATTTCTGCCACCTTCCTATCATGGAGCAATTTTTCTAAACATCCCTGCTGGAGGGAAACACTGCCTTGCAGTGGGAGGCTGGGGGGAACCCCAGAGAGGAGGGAGGAAAAAGAAAAAAAGAAAGAAAAGGTAAGACACCTTGACTCATTCTTCCCTAACCAACCTGCTGTATATCTGTACTACATGTGCAAAGCCAAATCCTGATCTGAGAAGACCACATGCTATAGAGTTCTTAATATAAATACTACTTTAAAATATCCCCATAGTTTGTTTTGTGATTTACATACTTAAACAAGTAATCAAAAGGTATCACCTTCAAAAGCACAGCACCATCTAGTGATGCACAGAAGCATGCTGCAGTATAAAGGAGGTACTGTCTCCTGTGTATGCAGGGAAGAATTGTAATCATGGAATTGCTGAGGTTGGAAAGGACCTCTCAAGATCCTCTCTTCTCTAAAAAAAAGCCTCTGATGATGAGATAAGTGAGATGGACAAAATAAAAGTGATTTTCCATCCTAAGTTTTTGGTACTTTGAATTTTTTAGAGCTTGCCATGGTAGTCTTTTCACCCTACGTAAAATTATTTAAAGGGATGTTTCTCACCACTCCCCAATTACAACTATCATATTGTAATTAACACCTCAGAAGCTAATAGGACTTTAAAGAAACATAGTAGCAGTAAGAATACCTGATTAGGTCTTTCGGTAGGTGTCTGGTCATCTGAATTCCCCTTCTCTTTTCTTTGCTTCTCTTCTAGACATTTTGCCAGATGTTGACACATTTCTGCTGTGGATGCTAATTTGCGTTGAAGTTGGTGAGTTTCATCAGTGAGTGAACGGCACAAAACATCGCTGGTGGCCTGAGCCTTTTCTCTCTCTGCCAAGCTCTTCTGAAGCCGTAAGATTTCTCTCTCCTTTTCATACGGAGGCTGATTTATCATCTGCTCTATCTCTCCATTTTTCTCCTCTAGTTGCTGATTCAACTTCTGTACTTCCTAAACATAAGGGGGAGGGGAAGTTATTTAAAAGCAAAGTGAACTCAAAAGCCAAAATATGTCTAAGACTGAATTCCCTATTGCAGTAATTCCATATTGCTCCTATATTCACTGCAAAGTACCTAAAAAGTAAAATAAATCCATTTCACTTCTGTACAATCACTCAATGTTGGAACTGACAGATCAATCAATCACAATCAAGAACTGCTCAGACAGCTATACAAGCACTTCCTAGTCAGTAGAATGAAGAAAAAAACAGCAAAAATTCCAGAAGATTTTCTGAAAACATGCACAGCAGCAACAAACTAAAGATGGAACTTACAAGAAAAAAAATAAGTTTAAAAGGAGTAACTATGGAGACTGAGAAAGGCTTACTGGTCCTGCATTCTAAATTACCAGATAGTAGAGATTTTCCTTAAAAAAAAAAAATAAAAAAAAATAAAAAAAAGGGAACTGGAAAGTCATCATATCAAAAACCACTGAGGTGTAGTCATTGCCTGTCACTGTCACAAGGACAAAGCACCTAGGAAAGGATGAGCGGTAAGGACAAGCAAACAGAAAATGAAATCCATGTGGCAGCAATGACTATTTTGGCTAGAGCTGACTCGCCAAGGTATGTAATAGTGTCTGAGATACTCTCAGGAAACAACTCTGTATCTCACTGCTGCACGTTCTTGTTGAATCAGAAGCTCTGCAGGATCATCCACATTGCATTAACGTCGCTGAAGGTGTTTTGAGAAGGAAGACGTGTGCTTGCTTACTGAGGTAAACCACTCCGTAGTACCATGCACCTGAGGTACACCAGTCTTGACTTTGTCAAAAACAGCCTGTGCTTGATATCCTCAAAAAGCAGCAGATGCTGGTAGCAGAAACCTCAGCAGCGCTGCTCCTCCAGCATCAATGATGCCCTGGATGCCAGCACAGATCATAAGACAAGTACAAGCTTGACTCTACCTTTCCAGTTCTTCAGGAGTGCTAAAAGAGCTGTAAATCACAGGGAGCACTCTTCTTTGTCAGCACATAGGCCTCTGACTTCACAAGTTTTTGTTGTTATTATTTTTAGTGACAATTATTTCAGCATTTTTGATTTGGCATAAAATATTTATTTCTAAAAAGCATAAAATTAATATAAAACAGAAATAGCACTTGGTCTTATTACTGACGTTTAAATTCTTTAGCGTCATGCTAAATTTCCCTTTTACTATAAAGGCATTCAACATCAGACTTCAAAATATATTCAGATACCACAGGTTTGTCATCTGTCTGCACAGTGTCAGTAAGATCATCTCTTATTACAAATTTCCAAACTTGAACTTATTTAAATGTGTTTTAGGTGAGTGTCATATATGGAAATTGTTTTGTATAAGCATTAGGTCAGGAGATTACTTATGACAAAAATACTTGAGTTTCAATTTTAAGTACTGCTTCTCGGTTTGGAAATTCCTTTATGCAGCTTCATATAGAAAGAAATGCTTTAAAATTCTTTAAGTATTTCAGACTGAACATGGGAAAGTCTTCATGACAGGAACAAAAACAGCACTTGTGGTGGATGGGAGGGGATGCAGCTTTGAGACTTTTTTTTTCTTGTTATAAAAGATACCGATTTCCCTAATCTGTCTCCTCACAATCCAGGCTTGACAGTTACTTCTCCAAGTATTAACATGCTGCCTTAATGTCAATACAAAAATCCATTAAGTGCACTTTAAAAAATAAATACTTTAATAGAAAAAGCAGCGGCATCAGTTATTTATCTTACAGAACGAAGCCGTTGCATCTGATAGAGGAGGGTCTTCAGTAAGTAATGTGGAACTTCCAAATTTAGGGGTTTTTTACTGGTTTTCCTTCTCCTTGTGAAGATAGTTACATGAAGACCTATAAAGCTACACTAAGTTTTTGGTTTAGGATTTTATGGTTTACCTTCTTGAACTTAAGGCAGCGGGAACCACTGTGGGACACAGATGGCTGAGCTGCCTTGGGCACAGTCCAACTCTGGGCACACAGCGACAGCGCAAGTCCCGTCACCCGCACCAGGGCATGGAAACACCGGCTCCTGTCCGGGCTCTGCCACCGCCAGCTTGCCGTGTCACCCCGGGCAAGTCACTCAAACCAAGTCGTCACGCAAAAAACGCCTGCACCCTCCACTCAAGGCCAGCACTGCTGGGGTTCCTACGCTCCCATGACTGGTGTGTGGAGGGAGGAGCGGCGGGAGCTGCTCCCCTCGCCCCGGGAGGCCAGGGCACC